CAATTTGCTCACATGGTCTTCGAAAGTTAGTCTCGGTCTACCTCGACACCTTTTAATATTAACTTTCGCGCTATATATTTTCTTCACCATTCGGTCTTCACTCATTCGCTCAACGTGCCCAAACCACCGAAGCACGCCCTTATCAATTTTTGTGATAAGGTCATCTTTCAAACCTGCCATATTGCGAATCTCTTCATTTCGCTTTCGGTCGGCCATGGTAACGCCGCACATTTTACGAAGAGATCGCATCTCCACTGCATTCAACTTACTTTTATGCTTCTTCTGGCACACCCAGGTTTCGCTGCCATATAACAAAGTCGGTACCAACACTGCGTTATGTATTGCAAGGCGTGCACTCTTCGCTACGCCTTGCCTTTTGACTAACGCAGTCAGGGCACCATTGACTTTGTTCCCGGCAGCGACACGCCTGTCCACATCTAAATCACATCTTCCATCCCGGCTAAAAGCACTCCCCAAGTATACTCGAGAAAATTCAAGAGCGATGATTTATTATGACTTTCGAAGGGTTGATTTCTGATGATTTCTGCATTTGGTGATGAAGCCCCATCCAAAACCATAATTTATTATGGTTTGCTGAATTTCAACGTGGACGTGTCAAGCTCAGTGATGATACTCGTTAAGGTCGTCCAAAAACTGCAGTCTGCGTAAGCTGATTGAGAAAGATCGACGTGACATACCGCGAAATTCAGGCAACTTTAGACATTGGCATGAGTCAAATACAAATAATCTGGCATGAACAATTAGGTGTAAAAAAATTGTTTTCTCGATGGATACCGCATTCGCTCTGTGAAGAGCAAAAGGCGGCTCGCGTTACTTGGTGCGTCAGAACTCTCGAAAGATTACACGCAGGATCCTCAAATGCTGTATACAACATCGTATCAGGTGACGAATCCTGGATATACGCGTACGTACCCGAAACAAAAAACCAGTCACGAGTTTGAGTGTACGAAAATGAGTTAAAGCCAATAAACATTGTTCGTTCACGGAGTGTTGCAAAAAAAATGGTGGCCACGTTTGTCTCCAAAACCGGCCATGTTACGACTATTCCTCTTGAGGGACAAAGAACGGTTAATGCAGAGTGGTATGCTTGCATTTGTTTGCCACAGGTCGTTTCTGAACTCCGTAAAGAGAACTCCAACCGCCGCATCATCCTCCATCACGACAATGCGAGTTCTCACACCGCACACAGAACAAAAGAGTTTTTAGAGCAAGAAAATATAGAATTATTAGACCATCCGCCGTACAGCCCCGACCTAAGCCCTAATGATTTCTATACTTTCCCTAAAATAAAGAATAAATTGCGTGGACAGAGATTTTCATCACCTGAAGAAGCTGTGGACGCCTACAAAACGGCCATTTTGGAGACCCCAACTTCCGAATGGAATGGTTGCTTCAATGATTGGTTCCATCGTATGGAAAAATGTGTCAAATTTCGCGGAGAATACTTCGAAAAGCAATAAATACATTTTTAAATAGTAATGTTGTGTCACTTCCTTGATTCCCGAAATTTTCAGTGCCGCCCTCGTATCATTCAGGCCACTACGTGAACAGCGCCGTTTAGTAAAAAGGCTAATTAAGCTAGTTGGCTACGACATATACATTAAAATTTTGCAACTGAAAATGAGAAACTTTAATTGACATAACGGTGGTAGAGCCACGCAGCAGTTTTTGCTGTTGCACGTATGGGCCGCCTCGAGCCGGGTTGGTACCACGACCTCACATAATACCCGCGTGAAGTAGAAGCTTTGCTTCTGCGTTTCGTCTGGTGAGTGCAGGTGGCCGGAGGCCCAATTCCCCCCCCCCCCCATCAACATGGTAGCGGAATTACACGAAAGACTACCCCAGGAGGGTATCAGTACACCTGGAGAATCCCTCGCTGAGCATCCACGACCATGTTATTCCAATCCTGAGCGTGGGTGTTGAAACTGAGCAACAATACCAAGGCGACCCCTGCCACGCTATCCGTGAATTTCTGCAACATCAGGGGACTTCACTCTAATCTAAACGCCGTCCACTACCATCTCGAGACGGCGAAGGCGGCCTTGGCCTGACCAAGACGCAGGTTTCCTCTCCGGCTGATATTTCGTATTTCTTCTACCCGGGGTATAAATTGGAGCTCTCCTTTGTGCCTCGGGCTGGAGTTTGCGTGTATGTCAGAGAAGACATCTGTTCTCGACGCCTCGGCAGTCTTGAAGGTTCGGACCTGTCCATTCTTTGGCTACGCGTAAACAGCGACAACCATCCGCACATCTACGGGTGCCTCTATAGGTCCCATAGCGGTAATGCCGATACAGACCGACTCATCGACCACGTCCACGTCCTTGCTACAATCCAAGTCCCATCCGCAGAAATCGTGATCCTTGGCGATTTTAACGCCCACCACGCCGAATGGCTCGGTTCACGTTTAATCGATAATGCGGGGAGATCTGTTAATGACTGCCTTGGCATATGGTCTGACATAACTGGTTACTTCGCCTACGCGGATTCCAGATGTGGAGGATCATACACCTTCCCTGTTGGACCTTCTGCTGACCTCTCATCCGGACGGATATAAGGTTTCCGTCGATGCCCCTCTCGGCTCTTCGGACCATTGTCTGATCCAGAGTATGGTGCCACTCACGCTCCCTTCGCGGTTGCGTTCTGCAGGTTGCCGCCGTATTTGGCATTACAGGTCGGCGGATTGGGACGGAATGCGGTCTTTCTTTGCATCCTACCCATGGGGGCGGGTTTGCTTCTCGCCGGATGACCCCAGCGCTGTTGCTGACTCTGTCACTGATGTGGTGCTACAGGGAATGGAAGTATTTATTCCATCATCTGCGGTACCCATCGGAGGCAGATCTCAGCCTTGGTTTGGTCGCTCTTGTAAGACTGCATTACGCAGTAAGCAGGAGTGTTATCAAGCCTGGGCTGCGGCTTCGGCGACTCGGGATGTAAACACCAGTACACTTAAAAAGAAGTATAACTTCGCCTCCAAGTCCTTCAAAAGAGTTATTGCCAAGGCAAAGTCAGAGCACATAGGCAGAATTGGCGAGAAACTAGTTCGCCTTCCTTCGGGAACCCGTGCATTCTGGTCTCTCGCCAAGGCTGTCCAAGGAAATTTCTGTAAGCCATCACTACCATCTCTGCACAGGGAGGACGACTCACTGGCCCAAGCCGCAAAAGACGAAGCCGACCTTTTAGGCTCCCTTTTTGCGTCCAACTCGACTCTTGATGACGGGGGGAAAACACCGTCGACCATCCCGCGATGTGAGTGATCCATGCCGGATGTGCTGTTCTCACAGCGCTCGGTTCGCAAAGCACTTCTCTCCCTGGACATCCAGAAGTCGAGTGGGCCTGACGGAATCCCCCCAATTGTGCTGAGGACGTGTGCTCCGGAGTTGGCACCGGTCCTAACGCGTCTTTTCCGGTACTCCTACTCCCAAGACGTAGTCCCGAATTCATGGAAGACAGCTTTTGTCCACCCGATCCCTAAAAAGGGCGACCGCTCAGACCCGTCCAACTATAGGCCCATCGCGATCACCTCCTTGTTTTCCAAAATAATGGAATCCATTCATCATCCGGTACCTTGAGGATCACCAGGTGATTAGTGACCGCCAATACGGTTTTCGTGGGGTTAGATCAGCTGGTGATCTTCTGGTCTACCTGACCCATAGATGGGCGGAGGCAGTAGAGTCCAAGGGCGAGGCGTTGGCCGTTAGTTTGAACATTGCGAAGGCCTTCGATCGGGTTTGGCACAAAGCGCTTCTTTCGAAGCTCCCTTCCTATGGCCTTCCCGAGAAATTGTGCAATTGGATCACCAGCTTCCTTGCAGATCGGAGCATCAAGGTCGTTGTAGACGGTGCGTGCTCTGACTACAAGCCTATTAACGCTGGTGTTCCACAAGGCTGTGTGCTATCACTAACGCTGTTTCTTCTGCATATCAATGATATGTTGCTAACTGGTGACATTCATTGCTATGCGGATGACAGCACTGGTGATGCTCTATACACCGGCCGTGCCAATATTTCTCGGGAAAACGTCGCCTAGTACCGGAACAAACTTGTGTCTGAAGTCGAGTCTTTGCTGAACAAAGTCTCGGATTGGGGGCGACTAAATCTAGTCCAGTTTAATCCTCAGAAGACACAAGTTTGCGCGTTTACCGCTAAAAAGAACCCCGTTGTCGTATCTCCTCAGTTTCAAGGTACTCCCCTTCTTTCCTCAGCCAGTATCGGAATCCTCGGAGTCGACATATCGAGTGACGTGCAGTTTCGTGGTCACTTAGAAGAGAAGGCCAAATTGGCCTCTAAAAAGCTTGGCGTGCTCAGCAGAGCGGGACAGTATTTCATGCCGGCACACCGCCTGCAACTTTACAAAGCGCAGGTTCGGCCTCACATGGAATACTGTTCCCATCTCTGGGCAAGGGCTCCCCAGTGCCAGCTCCTTCCACTTGACCGCATCCAGCGCAGAGTGGTTCGAATCGTCGATGACACTGTTCTTTCCGATCGGCTCGATTCATTGGCACTGCGAAGAGATTTTGCATCCCTTTGCAATTTCTTTCGCATTTACTATGGAGAGTGCCCTGAGGAATTGTTCGGATTAATCCCAGCCGCCAAATTTCACGAACGCACATCGCGGCAGAACTCCCGATACCATTCACACCATCTGGATGATTGGCGGTCCACCACTGTGCGATTTAGAAGATGTTTTCTTCCTCGCACGACTTCCTTGTGAAATCGATTACCATCAGCGATTTTTCCGGACCGATACGACTTAGGGACCTTCAAGAAAAGAGCGTACTCCTTTTTAAAAGGCTGGCAACGCATCTGCAATTCCCTCCCTAGTGTTGCAGTTGTTCATGGGCGGCGGTAGTCACTTACCGTCAGGTGAGCCGCATGCTCGTTTGCCCCCTCTCCTATAAAAAAAAACATTTTATTAAAGTTGTTTTATTGAACTATACACAATAATTAATTATATTGTAACACAAACCTAAGAAAAGTTTATTAACATATTTCTACAATTTGGTCTTGGTTTGGATATGATGGCAGAGTTAAATTGTACTTAGTTATAATTCCCGGTGGTAAAAACCGGCCACCTAAGTAATGTTTCGCTGTTCCAAGGAATTCTGGCTGTGTACACAGTTTAGGTGCTGATAGAGATATTACAAGAGCAGGCTTTAAAGCTTTATCAGGGCCAGGTCCTTTTTCAACATCCCAACCACTTGGAATATCAACACTGGAAATAATAATATTATCATTTTAAATAGAAAACCATGGAGATACTAATCATAGCAATTTATCACCTTTTTTTTTATAAATATTCTACTTACACAATGATAGTTATGAAGCCCAAATGCAGCCTAATGGTTTAATTAACTAGTGAAAGGATGGCTATCATTAGTTAACAGTTATAAACGGAAACAGAAACTTTTTTATTCAATATAGATTATAAATAATACTTATTGAAAGTCACTCTTTTGTATGATTACCACTGGTTCGAAAAAAAACCTCTGTCCTGGGAAGAACCAGCAAGAAACCCAGCGGGACTTTTTTTTAAAAAAAAGTATAAAGTGATGTTTATGATAATTGACATTTTGTTTAACTGAAAGGCACCCTTTAACTATTGCTGTATAAAGATCAGCCAATACACATAAATTTACTTGCTCTTTCTGTCACTGTGGTGTAAAGAATAGTCATTTTTTTCAACAGACTTCATAAAGGAGGAGGTACTCAATTCAACTGTTTTTATGTGTGTTTGATGATTCTATTTTTATTTGAAACAGATGAAACAGACAGCCTGCTGCACCAGTGCACTGCTGAACACAGGACACCCCCATTGGGGGGATATTTGTCAAAGTTGCCACACTTGGTAGGCAGGTTGGCAACCATAGTTTTTTAATTTGTTATTAGTTAGATGCTGCTGCCCATCTCCTGGTTTGTTTCCCTCTGTTCCCTTTTCACGACACTTACAGGGTGATATGGAGTGGTATATTCTTACACTGCCACTACAAAGTCATATATACAGGGTTATTTTTCAAAGAGTATCCAATTTTTTTATTTAACTCTTTTGCTGTCCCATGTACTACATATAGGTCATTGCTATTGTCTTACTATTGTGTCTTAAAACCAGACAGTGAAAGTGTTAAGTTCAAATATATTAGCAATGATATACCATTATTGCAGTTTTTGAAAATACGAGTAAATAACGCTTCTACTTCTATTTCATATTATCCTAAATTTAATTTGATTTATGGGCAATAACTATGCATACACAAGCTCCTCTGTGTATGATTCAATTCACAACAATTTTTGCTGACCGAGTGAACCTTAAGAATGTTGCGTGCGTTGTAAAATAGTACACATTAGATATTTATAAATGGCAATTAGTAAAAATAATGCATTACCACGCATTCTGAATTTAAAAGATAAAAAGTACAAAATATTTGAGATTTTTCTTTTTTATTAATTTTTGTTAGCCATTCGTCTATATATTACTTATTCTAAACCGTCTCTGCAAATATGGGCATATATATTGCAAAATAACCAGGGTTGGCTGATTTAAATCAGGCTGATTTAAATCATGATTTAAATCACGATTTAAATCGCTTGATTTTGATTAAAAAAATCATTGATTTAAATCAACATGTATAAATTAATGTAATAAGCAGAAATCGAAATAATACTGGCTTAACATAAGGTAAAATCTTTTATTGTTTTATGTTATTCTTATTATTCTACTACAATAGTCTCATAAACTTTGGAAAATCAACAAAGACGTAGCGATGAGGTCTGTCAGTCTCATAAACTTAGTAAAAACAACCAAAATTTTTTTTTTAAATTCATCCTTTAGATATGAACTGTAATTAATACAGTATTAATTATTTTATTCATACATATGTATTCATAAACTTTTAATCCTACTACGTCAAAAAGTGTTACCAAGTCGTGAATTTCAAAATATACAATAAAAATCAAAAAAGTCAAAAAATTCAAAAAAATCATGATTTTTTTAAAAAAATCAGCATGATTTGATTAAAATTAAAAAAATCATGATTTTTTCCATCCCTGAAAATAACCCTGTTTAATAGTATTGTGCAATTTATTATATTACACAATATTGTGTACTTTATTTACATAAAAGTAAATTTACAGCCTATATACGTCCCACTGCTGTGCACAGGCCTCCTCTCATTTCTGAGAGGGTTTTAGGCCAAGGAAATACCCACCGCACTGCCCCAATGCATGTTGGCGAACTTCATGTGCCTTTGAAATAATTTTGTCTTATTTCTCAGATATGTAGGATTCCTCACAATGTTTTCCTTCACCAGCACAGCACATGGTAAATCAGCACTTAAAATTGCAACTAACAATTTCATTCGTACCAGCAGGGATCTAACTCGGGTTACTCTTGTACTGTGAAACTTACAGCAAGCACTAACTATTTGAGCTACCACTGCTATTTATTTAAATAATAATTAATATTTAAATAACTCCTGTACCTGCAAACTGGTAATCCTCCATCAATTAATGCATCTAAAGCAGGTTTCAGAGATTCTCTTACTGGAGGTTTAAAACTAAAACCAAAGAGTGCATCAACTAGCACTTTATAATCTTTTTGCAATTCATTTGGTGGAGGTAAACAGTCCAAAATATTAACCCCAAATTGTTTGCACTGATGAAGCAAATTCTCATACAAAGGTTTTGGTGTTCGTTTAGGATAATACACTGAAACATTATAGCCAAATAATGTCATATGACGAGCTGCTACAAGACCATCACCTCCATTATTGCCTGGCCCACACACAACCAGGGCTGTATTGTGTCTGAAAAACATAAGGAGACTTGACACTTAACAAGACCAAAACATACAACATGGGTTGCAACTGTATGTATAGTAAATATTTACGTTGATATTGGAAAAGTTTTTGCAACAGCTGCAGCTACACTTAAACCCGCCAATTCCATAAGCTGGTCAACACTAAACTTGTATTCATTGAACAGGTCTTGATCAAGCGCAGCTGCTTCTTCTTGTGTTAAATAATGCATGTTACAGGTGTTAGAGAGTTTACTACTAGTTATTGAACTTCTGATGACGTTAACTAAAGGCAGCTGAAATTCGATAAAATAAGTAGTATTTACGATTTTTAATGGTTAAACGTAGTCATACATAATAAGTTATGTATTGTATCACTAACATACCAGTAAAACACTTCTGAACACGTTATTAATTAACATTGACATCTGATAATAGATGTGTTGCGAACTTCAAATAAAACATCAATGAGTATAAGGTAAAAGCTTTCGTTACAACTTTTCGGATTAGGAAAAATGAAAATGAAAACAAACACAAAACATTTTTTTCTATTTCATTTTGTAACTAACCCATAGATAAATATATATGTAGCAAGCTAACTAACCATAGATCCAAAGATAATTCCATAGAGTAGAGGATAATTCTCTTCTAAAACTAAAACCATGGAGTATAGAGAAAACAGTGTAATTCTATGTCAGAGATTGTTATAGCGTTTTATAAGGCAGCCAAATGTCTTAGACCGTACATCCTACTCTGACGTATATATTATTCACAAAGTTCATAACTTTTAAATGACGTGTTATATTTTTTTTACCTGGTAAATCATGCTGCAGCTATATTATCACTATAGCATGAATGGGTGGGAATACTAGAACCGGAATTAGAATATCAGAGTAAAATAGCAGCTTAATGCTGCTCTGTTTTATAAGGTGAGTATGAAGAACCGGAGACGTTTTTTTATTGGAAACGAGGCATTCTAACTCATTCTTCAAGGGTAGACACTTATTTGCATTTTGATTCTTATTCGAGGATAGACGTAGGTGTCTATGGCCTATAGCACTCACTTAACATCGTGCGTAGTGATTATATTCTCTTTGATCGTGTGCACACTATGTCAGACATACCCGTTTTAAACGGGTATTACACTACACTGAATCAGGGCTCTGAATTCAGTGTGGGTGGCAAATGAGCACATAAACCAGCTGATGGTAAGTGTATGTTGTGGCCCATAGATTTACCCTCAATTAAATAATTAATAATTAAAAATTTTGTACAACTGACTTCAATATAAATTATTAACAATAACTCAAAAAGTATTGGTCTGATCTTGATAAAATTTATATGAGACCACATAAGCAGCACCAGCTTACAAATAAGTATCAGAGAAATCGGTTCGCCGAGAAAAAAAATTATAAGGTAACAAACAAAAAACACAATTCACAAAACAGTCGAAATGAGTACAGTCTCCTTTTTGGTAGAAACAAAATTCATATGCGTTGTCACACTTGAGGACTAAGATAGAATGCCTCGTTTCCAGTAAAACGGGCCTCCGGTTCTCAACACGCACCATACGGAACACAGTAACATTAATCTCCTATTCTACGCTGGTATTCTGTGAGAGCGTGGTCCTACTTCGGTTGAGCTGACCCATTGGTGCTAAGACCTAGCTACAGCATAGCTCCACCACGTAAAAATATATTATCGAAACAAAAAAGAATCGCTATTGCTATGGTTGTCACACTTGTATACTTTAAAACCTTCTTTTTCTATGTCCTTATTCATATAGCCCTTGTGGTCGTTCTTCCATAAATAAGGCATATCTTTGTACAAGTCTATTACAGACAACAACATTTTTTTCTTTGTTGGACATGGCTGTGTGCGAAAACAGGAACACGAAAACAAAACATATACGTGCGCTCTTGACGAATGTAATAAGTGCCCTAATTATTATTACTCTGCATGGTAGTAAGTGCACTAAGGGAGTAAGGCCGGCCATATCCACCTGACACCTTAATTAAGGACCCTGATTCAGTGTGTAATACGCTTTATACTTGTAATAGATATAAGAAAAATGGTTTTATTATATCTATGATACTTGTAGATAGATAAACCATAGACAAAGATTATACTTTGACACTTGATAGTTTTGTTTAGCTGTCACCCGTCAACCCATCATCCGTCACAAAAATGGCTGCGCTCAGAGTGTTTAGTCGTAATATACCGTATTTGCGACAACAATTTTCCGCATTATTAGGGAACACATCACCGTCAGTTAAATTTATTTGTGTCGTTGTAATCATAGGGTATATATTATCTTATTCAGATACTGTTGTTAATGTTCTTAGTGTTACACCAGGGTTTTTGTTGCCTCCTTCTTTTCAATTGTGGTCTACTTTCACGTTCTGGTTTCTGGAGATACATCTGTGGGAAGTGATAATCGACATTGTGACGGTTGGTTTGTGTGGAAAACTAATTGAGCCACTATGGGGGCAAATGGAAATGATGAAGTTCTTTTTTCTGATTAATGTTGGTGTTGCGTTTTTGACAACTTTTTACTATTTAGTGATTTATGCTTGGACACAAGATACTTCCCTGTTATTCGATATCCACGTTCACGGACTTGCTGGATACCTTGCAGCTGTAAGCGTAGCTGTGAAGCAAATAATGCCTGACCACTTATTGATAAAAACACCTCTGGGTATGTTGAAATTCTATTCAAGCATTTATTTCAAATTAGAAACAAAGAGTGTTTTTTTTTTTGTTATTGTATGCTAATATTGACATTCTACGGTCAGTTATTTATAAATTTAGGATGTAATTTTAGGCATCAATGTAAATAGTTATTACTGGGTAGTGTCAGTGTAAGAATACTCCAGCCCATAAGGTCCCGTGGGTGTTGTAAGGAGAATAAAGAAGAAGATGGGTAGCAGTACCTTTGTAACAACAGCTATAAAAAAAAAAACTAGTTTGTATACCAACTGTGGCATTTATGGTAAATATGCCCCTTATGAGGGAGGCTATATTCACCAGTGGACTTTTCATAGGCAGTAACGGTAATAGTAATACTCAAAGAGAGATTGTATTTTTTCTTGGAAACTGCACTGCCAATAGTTTATTTAAAATTTAAATTTTGAATAGTTCATCCCTGAGAATATTTCTTATAATTTTTCATAACATCATGTAAACTGGTGACCAAGGTTTTTGATAAGCATTACTAATGGAAAAAAATGTGATGTTAACCCATTCAGTGCCTTGCTCTAGAAAACTTTTTATTCACATGCCGAGCCTGCCCATGGCGGGGCGGATTTCAAACCTTAATAAGTATGCCAAATAACATGAAAAAATTATAAGATTTTGTCTAATAACTCGTTTTATTACGATTGATTCGTTACCAAAACGGCCTGCGGATATCTAAGATTTTAGCAAAGGACAATTCTGACCTGTCATGTAGACCCCGCCCATGGGCGGGCAGTACGCATATTCAGCATTAACAAACATTTTAATCAAAAACTATAAAATAAAGTATATTTACATGTAGTGATAATAAAATATAAAGTTTATTGTTCCTTGCACCTTATTATTAAAACTAAAATCGTAACAATATACAAGGTGTTACAAAAATGCGGGTAATCCTTTTAGGGAGCCATTTTATTGCTCAAATACAGCAACTTATTCTATGGGACCTACATTGAAATCTCAAAAAAAATGGCTTCCCTATACTAAACCGCCGATCAGCTGAGACTAGTTTGTGTGGAGAAGTAATTTTTTTTCAAGAAGTTATTGTTTTTGAGCAAGAGAATCACTTCCTTATAGAGGATTTGTAACACCTTCTAGATAATGCAATATACTGTCGGTATCTTGGAAGCAAGATAAGCATGCAGATGATGATCTACATAAAAAGGAGCTGATTGATATTCGCCACTTTGAAAACGGACAAAGTGCCGACACCTTTGTTTTGGTCACCGACCTTTTGGCATGATTTATGATTTAATTTTGGCTAATGACCTATTTTGGATTGTGGTTTAATACAGATAAGATCATAAACTGTTGGTAAATAGAAAACAAGATAATTATGCACATGGTGATCTGAACAAAAGGAGCCGGTCGGTAATAGTCACTTTGAAAACAAAAGAAGTGCCGATACCTTTTGTTATGGACACCAATAATTTTACAACTTGCATGATTTATGATTTAACGTAAGTAGTACATTATAGAAAAAAATTGCCTACTGCAAAAAGCTTTCACTCGCATCTTGACATTCATGGTTTTCACAACTTGAGTTTTGCCGAGTGTTTTGGAAGTTTGTTTGCTGTTTGTGTGTATCGAGTTGAGACTATCTCCTCTGCCTATAATTCCTACCTGTGAACGAATATTTCGTTCACAGCTAGGAATTAATGCGAAAGAGGTAAGACGTGGGAAAAAAATTAAACACATAAAAAGGCTGACTACGCATGACTTGAAAAAAAGCCCTGAAATGTATGCTTTTATATTTCATTTTATATTTCCTTGTACGAAGCTCGTGCTTAAATCTGTCTTATATGCAGATTAAAATACATTTGCTTCGTCTTAATTGAATTAGCTGAAAGTTTTGCCTTTCAGCTAATTCACCTTCACACTCCATTAATAATTCGGTTAACAACAACAATTACAAATGTAACTGGCACAATTTTTCCACAAATAACAAAAACATACGCAAACACGCTCTATGCAATGCACAGAACATATAAATTAGACATTAAAATATCTCACATCGAAATCTAAGGCCTCATGCCGAAACCGTCGATGGGCGGGCCAAGATACCGGCGGGCCAAGATACTTTATCGAGATGCCGGCCCCGCCGATGAACGGGCTGAATACCAGTATAAGCCAGCATGGAGGTAATGTTATCATTTCTTAGGAAGGTAGTGAATGGGTTAACATAATGTAAGGCCTTGTTAAATAAGTAAAAGATAAATTAATGTCACAAATTGTAACAATAACAGTATTGTTATTTCATTCTTTATTAGAAACAATAAAACCTATTTTATGTTTACATAAAAGATAGGTAATGGTTTAAAATGGAAAAAGAAAGAATGTTAATTCAATAAATTATCTTTATTGTAGTATCAATCTATAGTGATAAGGAAAAATGGCTTTTTCATGTAAACATAAATTAATTTCATTATTTGATTTAATTTTCCTTTCTAAATAATATGATTTATGTCAACTACAACATATTTCTTTGGGAACCTCGCATGAATTTTTCCAATCTCCTTTTTATTATTGATTTATGGTTGATATTATCATCAAAGATTAGATTAGTATATAATGTATGTTCCACTTGCACATACAGGCCTGCTATAATTATTTGGATTATTGGCTTATTAATATGTCTAAAGTGATTTTAATGGAAATATATCTTTATATTGTTAGAAATGAGGGTAGAATTAGAATTTTTTTATAGGATAATGGTGACAAATGAGCACACAGTCCACCTGATGGTAGTGGTTGCTGTGGCTCATAGACATCTACAGCTATCTTCGATTACAAATCAAAATACAGATGCGTTATAACCCATGGGGACTAAGATGGAATGCCTCATTTCCATTAAAAAGGGTCTCCGGTTCTCTACACTCACCATACGAAACACAGCAGCGTTAAAGCTGCTGAAAAATTTTACGCTGGTATTCTGTGAGAGCTTGGTTCTAACCCTGCTCAGTCAACCCATTTGTGCTGCAGCTAAGTAGATATACTTAGCATAGCAGTGTGGCTCTACCAAATGATACAATATGACTTCACCGATTATTACTTGATAGATTAAAGTCATGTTTACACAATATATCTTTTTTGTCAAAAAACTGGTTTATAGCTATGTTAATATCTGATAGGTTAATTCTATATTTATGAATCAAAATGATTCCGTTACCGTTACACCCTATTAAAATCCACTGCTGAACACAAGCCTCCTAAATAGATTGCCTCACATGGTGGATATTTGCCATAGTTCACAATAATGATTGGTTTGGTAATGGTAGACAGTGCTGTGGTATTAATATTATATTTACATTGTGAAAAATCCACAGTGAATTTTAAGTGAAACTTATAGCACCACCTACCAGAAAGGCCAGGATGTGTGTACCTAGCCGGCCTAGCTAGTATTATAGACTTAAAAGGCATAACCTTTTTTGCATATAGAACATAATATGAATAGCTTATAGGAGTTTTAACTATTTCTAATACAATATAATTACATAAAGTCATTGATTTGTTTACCCATTTCCAGGAAAATTAACAAATCGGTCCTTACCACTTCTGATTCTGGTGGCTGCTATAATTTTATGGGCTGTTGGAGCATTAGAAGGCACATATCCCTGCATGTGGGGAAGTGGTACTATTCTATCATGGATATACCTCAGGTTTTGGCAGCGACATAGCAGTGGCACAAGAGGAGATATGGCTGACAACTTTAGTTTTGATAAGTAAGCATGTTTAATTATTTTTCTTGATATATGATCACTTATTATAAAACTGCCACAATTGTGAACCAAATAAATTAAGACTAGTTTTATAAATTCTAAATAAGATAAAACCCATCTAGTGGTGGGTAAGAATACCCACTATCCCATATCTTCCCATGGGTGTCGAAAGTGGTGAAAGAGGGAAACTGAGGCAAAAGATGGGCAGCAGCATCTTTCTGATAACAGCAAAACAAATATAAAAAAACTGCAGTTGCTAACTCGCTCTATGCAACTATAGCAATATACCCCCCATGGTTAAAGTTACGAAGAGACGGCCCGCAGTCCCCGGCGGCCCAGCTAGTCCTGGCTACGGTGGCGACCATGGTAATCTCCGGTGGAGGTTCGGTTGCCATCTAAGACAACTCGAACTAGCAACATATAACGCATGCACCCTGAGGACTGACGAGAAGATCAAGGAGCTGGAAGAAGAGATAGACAATTTGCACTGGAATATTATAAGATTATCTGAGTTCCGAAGAGAGGGGTATGACATGGTAATCCTCGAATCTGGCAACTTAAACTATCACCGTGAGGGCGATCATCTGTCCCAAGGAGGTTTCGGATTTATCGTCCACAAGTCTCTTGTTAACAACATTGTAAAGATTGAGAGTGTGTCGACGAGGGTTGCATACCTTTTACTCAGAATCACCAAACATTATTTGCTGAAGGTCATAAAGGTTTACGCACCAACCTCGGCACACCCCGATGAGGAGGTAGAGGAAATCTATGAGGATATCTCTAGAGCCATGCATTCCTCCAAAACCCAATATACGGTGTTAATGGGAGACTTCAATGCAAAACTAGGCACAAGAGAGAACGGTGAACTGAAAGTAGGGAAATTTGGAATAGGGCAACGGAACCCAAGGGGCCAGCAGCTGCCCATAAATCACATTCAATTTGTGATAATTTCAAATTAAAGTAGAAGCCTTATTTACTCGTATTTTCAAAAATTGCAATAATGATATATCCATTATTTATATATTTGAACTTAAGTTTAAAATTTGGCGACTCTGAAAAATAACCGTGTATAGATAAGCAAAGTTAATATATTAATTTCCTTGCTTTGTTTATTTATGTTAATTATGATATTTTTTTTCTTTTTAAAAATTAAAAAAGTCAATGTATATAAAAAACTGTCATGATAGTCTTTCCATAGATGTGAATGATCTACATAATATTCTCCTTCCATTAATTACTGGTAAAGCATGAAGAAATCAGTGATTGAATACCGGTACCAATTTCGGTTCTGGTTCTTCATTTAGGTTCTTATAAAGGTTCCCCTTTTCAACGCAAAACTAGGCACAAGAGAGAACGGTGAGCTGAAAGTAGGGAAATTTGGAATAGGGCAACGGAACCAAAGGGGCCAGCAGTTGGCCGACTTCATGGAGAAAGAGGGACTCTTTATGATGAACTCTTTCTTCCAGAAGCGGCCCCACAGGAAGTGAACCTGGTCGAGCCCCGACGAATCCACAAAAAATGAGATTGACTTCATTATGACGACCTGACGACAACTGTTCAGTGATGTCTCAGTGATCGCGAAGGTGAAAACTGGTAGCGATCACCGAATGGTTAGAGGCACACTGAATGTTAAACCGTTAACGTAAAATCCCCTCGTGCTCTAATCCAAAGTCCCGAAACCTTTCAGCTCGAGTTACAAAACTGTATCCAGTGTCTAGAAGACTGCAATGAAGTGGACGATATGAATGACAAGCTCGTGGAAACTGTCCATGCGTAGTTTTGCAAGACGCGCTGCAGAAGAACACAAAAACTATCCAATCACACTCTTAATCTCATGGCTGTTAGACGGGAAATGAAGCTGTAGTCTTTAGTAAATTTGACAGCATACAGGCAACTGAACAGACAGATCTCCAAGTGCATGCGGCGGGACTTACAATACAATACTGCTCGTATTGTAAAAGCGATCGAGCGGAACCAGGACTCCGAAATCTTTGCCAGAGATCTGTATGCCAGAAAGAGCCAACTGTCGAAGCTGAAGACCGAGTGTGGCAGCGTAGGTTCCGGGACACCTGAGATTTTGAGTAAGATTGAGAGGTTCTATGGGCAGCTGTACACATCATCGTTGGAGCCACGCAAGTGTGAGTAACGATCCAAGAGCTAGCCTTAAAGCGGGTGGAAAACCGGTACTTTAAGTTTTCTTTTATAGGATAGGGTGACAAACGAGCAAACAGTCCACCTAATGGTAAGTAGTTGCTGTGACCCATAGACATCTACATCTAATCTCCATAAAGAATCAAAATGCAGATGCGTTGTCACCCTTGAGGGTTAAGATAGAATGCCTCTTGTCCAGTAAAAAGGGTATCCGGTTCTCTATACTGTCCATACGAAACACAGCAGCTTTAAGCTGCTATTTTACGATGGTATTCTGTGAGACGTGGTCCTTCCCCGGTCGAGCCGACCCATACGTACTACAACTATACTATTAATATAGCTGCAGCATGGCTCTACCACGTAGAGCCCTTCAGAGGCTCTTTAATTCCGTCCTCCATGGTGGTACTACACCGGAGGCGTGGAGCAGAAGTGCGGTGGTCTTGTACATCAAGAAAGACAACGCTCTCTTGAAGAACTACAGACCGATTTCCCTTCTGAGCCGCGTCTACGTGCTGTTTTCGAGAGTCATTACGAATCGTCTCGCATGCAGACTTGACGACTCCAGCCTCCCGAACAAGCCGGTTTCCGAAAATTGTTTAGCACCACATATCCTTCGGCAAATTGTACAGAAGTCCGAAGAGTACAATTTGCAACTATATCTGGGGTATGTGGACTATGAGAAAGCCTTTGATTCCGTCGAAATTTTGGAAATCGAAGTGCTGAAGTCTTTGTACAGTAGGGCGACACCGCTGCATTGGAAGACGTTTTCAAGCTTCTGGACTGGAAACGATACGGTATTAACATCAATGGTGAGTACATCACTCACCTTCGATTTGCCGATGATATAGTCCTTATGGCAGAATCGTTGGAGGACCTAAGCACTATGCTCAATGACTTCAATAATGCCTCCCAACGGATAGGTCTTAAGATAAACATGGACAAAACAAAGATCACGTCTAACGTCCATGTCCACACCTATGCCGGTAGTTGTTGGGAACACTAAGCTCGAAGTTGTTGACGAGTATGTTTACCTGGGACAAATAGTCCGACTAGGTAATTCCAACTTCGACCGAGAGGTCAGTCGACGGATTCAATTCGGCTGGGCAGCGTTCGGGAAATTACAGCACATCTTCTCGTTCAGGTATAACTCAAAACTTGAAAACGAGACTGTACAATCAGTGCGTGTTGCCACCTATGGTCACCTATGGAACTGAGACGTGGTCCTTTGCCGTTGGCCGGATGAGGAAGCTCAAGGTCGCTCAGCGAGCTATGAGTTTTAGTGAGGAGTTTCTCTGCGTGATGAACTTAGAAATGAGGATATTCGCAGTAGAACCAGAGTGACCGACATAGTCCAACGGATTAGTTAGCTGAAGTGGCAATGGGCCCGCTATATAGCTCGAAGAACCGACAACCGATGGGGAAAAAGGTTCTCGAGTGTCGGCCTCGTACCGGCGGATGAAGTGTAGGGCGTCCCCGTACTAGATGGAGTGACGACGGGTAAGACATGCAGGAAGTCGATGGATGCAGGTGGCTCAGGACCATCCTTTGTAGCATCCTTGGGGAGGCCTATGTTCATCAGTGGAGTTGTGAAGGACTGTAACGATGATGATGATGATTATATATTGATGCCATTACTGAAATATATTTTAGTTATTTATACATATTCTTATTCTTATCCATACTAAATTTGTAAATCTAATACTTCTAATTCAAGCACCGTCATTCAATGTATTATTTATAAAGTTGTGTATTTTGTAAATGAATAGTCTAAATCATTAAATATTTTTTTTTATAGAATAGGGGGCAAACGAGCATGCGGCTCACCTGATGGTAAGTGACTACCGCCGCCCATGAACAACCGCAACACCAGGGGAATTGCAGATGCGTTGCCGGCCTTTTAGAAAGGTGTAAGGTCTTTTCTTGAAGGTTCCTAAGTCGTATCGGTCCGGAAAATTCGCTGGTGGTAATTGATTCCACAAGGAAGTTGTGCAAGGGAGAAAACTTCTTATAATCGCACAGTGGTGGACCGCCAATCATCCAGATGGTATGGATGGTAACGCGAGTTTTGTCGCGATGTGCGATGGTGAAAATGAGCGGCTGGAATTAGTTCGAACAATTCCTCAGAGCACTCCCCGTGATAGATGCGATAAAATACGCAAAGAGATGCAACATCTCTACGCAGTGCCAGTGTATACGAAAGATAGTAAGATAGTGTAGACCAAAGAACTTGGTCGTCGACAATTCGAACCGCTCTGCGTTGGATGCGGTCAAGTGGAAGGAGCTGGCACTGGGGTGCACCGGCCCAGAGATGAGAACAGTATTCCATGTGGGGCCGAACTTGCGCTTTGTAAAGTTGCAAGCAATGTGCCGGCATGAAGTACTGTCTCGCTCTGCTGAGCACGCCAAGTTTTTTAGAGGCCAATTTGGCCTTCCCTTACAAGTGACACAAAACGAAACTGCACACTATTCGATATGTCGACGCCAAGGATTCCGATGCTAGCTGAGGCAGCAAGGGGAGTGCCTTGAAACTGAGGAAATACGACAAAGGGGTTCTTTTTAGCGGTAAACGCGCAAATTTGTGTTTTCTGGGGATTGAACTGGACTAGATTTAGTCGCCCCCAATCCGAGACTTTGTTAAGCAAAGACTCGACTTCAGACACAAGTTTGTCCCGGTACTCGGCGACGTTTTCCCGAGAAATATTGGCATGGCCGGTATATAAGGCATCACCAGTGCTGTCGTCCGCATAGCAATGAATGTTACCAGTTTGCAACATATTATTGATATGCAGGAGAAACAGCGTTGGTGATAGCACGCAGCCTTGTAGAACACCAGTGTTGATAGGCTTGAAATCAGAGAGAGCATGCACCGTCTACTACGACCTTGATGCTCCGATCAGCAAGGAAACTGGTGATCCATTTGCACAATTTCTCGGGAAGCCCATAGGAAGCCAGACCCGATCGAAGGCCTTCGCTATGTCCAAACTAATGGCCAATGCCTCCCAAATTTTTAAATTGACTTCTTCATTCGAAACCAGTTTAGATTTTTTTCTTCTCATCGTCGTTTTCAACGAACAAAATGCGATTTAAAATTGTAATAATTGACGGTAAACAAAGAAAATGCGGAATAAATTATTGTGATAGGTGGCGGTAGAATTAGCTTGGTTTTAAACGAACCTATCTCGCGTGATAGCGGTTAATAAAACAAGAAAAATATCATTAAAGTAATAATGATTTTGGTGTGGTATACGTTAGTAGACTAAAGGAAATTATATACGTGTAAAAAGCGATATCCTTGTCCTAAACCCTCTCAGAAATGAGACCATCTCAGAAATGAGAGGAGGCCTGAGCAAAGCAGTGGGAATTATATAGCCAATAACTTTTACTTTAACTTTTTAAAAAGTGGTGCGGGAGAGATATAAGTTATAATTCATAAAAAGAGATATATAAATCATAATTTAAATATACGTATATAATTTTTGTAATATATAAATCAATCGATACATAAAGACCGAAAGGTTAAATTAATCGCGGCTCGAAGTGACCATTTTGATGGACAATATTAATTAAATTATCTAAGGCCGGATAGATCCAATTTGTGATGCAGTGCGGGTTACCAGAATGATGGTAAAAATGCTTTGTTGGTTTAAATGACCAACTGCTGATTCAGAGTTATTAAATTATGCGGCGGTGAGAATTTACTATTTTCCGATACTGCAAATGTCCCTAAATACGGGCTACAGGAAGGATGTAAATGAATGTATGTGCACCATTGAGTTATATGTACTACGTACTTAGAGAAGCCATTCCAAACAAAAATTGTGTCCTACTCTATGTCTTCGCGCATGCGCAGGAGTAGTAGTCGCGCATGCGCGATGACTTTAATTTAATATAAAATAAGATATTAATATAAAATAAATATAAGAATTTAATATAAAATATCTTAATTTAATCTAAACAAACATATTTCTAAATAAAATGTAATAATAATTATTTTATGGAATTCACAAATCTTCAATTTACCCAATATTTAGTTTGTATGGATTGCTAGTACAGTTCAGTTGAACATAGTCAATGTTCGGAATGGCTTCTCTAGTACGTAGTACATATAACTCAATGATGTGCACTCACCTGGACTTCCACTGATCTGCCTTTTGTTTCGAAGGCCGCGGCCACGACGGTTGGATGCCGGCTGTCTTCACACATGAATTTCACAGATTATCGCAAAATATAGTGTTATTTTCAATGTCTATATACTGATGTATTCTTGTATAATTTAATATCTAAACTATACAAGGGCGAAAGCAATTACGCGCGATATAAGCGGTGCGGTTAGTTGCGTAACTTGCGAGCATGTGAGAACTCGGTTTAACACATGCACATGCTAGCTAAGATGTTTTTAAAGTATTGATACATCATACTCGCTCTAAAATGGCAATACGAAGGTAAGGTAATTGCCCGATTCGTATTCAGTTGGGCACGTATAGCACCTTCGCTACAGCGCGTAAATCTTCTAGTTGTTCGTGGTAAAAATGCCTTCCTGTGTTTTTAGGTGGTGCACAAATTACACGGCAACTGTTAGAGACAAGAAAAACGCCTCATTAATATTTTGAATATAGATGTTTTGTTTATAATTGGTTTTATTATTTCAACAGTAACCGCTAGTGTAAACTTTGACGCTAGCTAGTGTGTTCATTTCCATATCGGTATCTCACGCGCTCGCGCCAATGAGCGCTCAGCAGCAATCAATAATACGCAACTAATGATGTATATTCAGCTTTTTCTAACGATAGGTATGCCGTATCATTTGTCTCTTTTTATTAGCGCAACGTGTCATAATAAATAACTGTACGTAGTACCTCCGCCACTTTAAAATACAATAATGTTAGTGTGTAACCTGTCTATCTTTTTTAATACATCTTTGCATGCTAGGCATAAAAGACGGTAGATAGGAAACCCAGAAAACGAATCTCACAAGCGTTAGGCGGTAGTGCGAAATGGCGCGAACAAGTAGATGCAAATCTTTGATTGGATATTTACGTGCTATTCAACTGTAGTATATTGGCGGGAAAATGTACAGGTGCAAATAATGTCTTGTTTCTTTGGTAATCTTGGTCTCGTACTGTTGTACTTTTGCCAGTGTAAAGTTTATTAAAATAGTATATTTCATTACGAGTGCGGAAAGCCTGTCATTGCAAAGAGTTCCGACAAATGCCTACCCGAGCCGAGGTGCAGCCGAAGGTGAGGATTGACAGTCGGAACAAGTTGCAATGACGGTTCCGCACGTGTACTGAACAACTATTTTTAATACAGTTGCGAAAAAATGAAGCAATTTAATAAAGAACATTTTTGGAAAATGGCGCCAACCGTAAAAAAATATAAGCAAATATTTTTTTTGTTTTCTTCACCCATTCTGGGTAGGCAAAGGGAACTATGCCCATGCAGCCAAGTCTTCAGTAGAATTTTTTTATTGATATGAAATGAAAATGAAATTTAATGAGATGAAAGGAAATGAAACCTAACCTAACTCATTGAATCAAATCATTAAACCTGATATTGTAACAAATTAGTAGCTTCTTTTTAGAAATATTTGCATGAATCATAAAAACTGAATTTTTTTTAGTAAAAACTTCATGGTTGGTTTTTTCTTTTTAATAGACATTATTTTGACAGTTGGGAAAGAGAACACACGAGTTCCGAAAAGGTAAAGAAAAAGCTCGAGTATGTAATACCCACATCCCGAACGCTAGACGTCCCTGCAATACGCCACTTTTTGAGCAACTGTATTAAAAAAATATTTTTAAAATAATTTGTTTGTTCTCTTTCGTGTGTGTGCAGCTTTTTCCCGACGGTAATTCAGCCGTTGGTGCGGGGCGCGCTGTCGCCGGCGTCGCGCTGCCTGGCGCGGCTGGGCGTGTGCACGCCGGCGCCGCGCCGCGTCACGCTCGCGCTCAGCCCGCGCGGCGTCACCATCTCGCTGCCCGGCGTCGAGCCGCATGACATGGAGAGGAGGCGGTGCGTGTAGCGTGTACTGTGCACTGACTGTGTGTGTATGTGTGTGTGCGCTTCTGCGCGCGTGTGTATGTGTGTGTGTATCGCTGCTGGCGCGGCAGGGCGACATATTTAATAAACATTTAAGCATATAACTTATATAAATAAAAACAGAAGGAAAAATATGAAAAAAACATGTGTCCAGTTCACAATTTCTTTCCAGTAAACTTGTAAGTCATTTTAACGAACAAAAATTGATTGATTCTCAAGGTGGTACGTAAAATAGGCGCTAGATAGCCTAAAGTTATGAAATTGTGAATTTTTAATGAATGGATTGGATATGATAATTTATATGTATATGTATGTATGGTCAATTTTATTTATTTAATAAATTTGGTAAGTTTTAACTACATTACTTTAACAGTTAAAATTTGTATTAACCATCTTTAAAGTACCGCACAAGAGGAGATCAAGATCTTTTTTTATCTTTTTTATTATAAACGTTACCCCCACACTAGGATTTTCTCCTGTATCGTGGAGGCAGTTTACAAACATAAATTGCACAAGGACAAACATCCAGACCCGGAACAATTATTTGTAGTCCATACAAATACTTGTTCCGTGCGGGATTCGAACCCGCGGCCCCCAGCGCAACAACTGATTACTAAGCCATTGCGCCACGGAGCCGTCAAGATCAAAAATCATTGGAAACACTGTATTTTTTTAAATACTAACAATGCTATTAACATTACTAATATTCTCCCTCCGTAATCACTACTGGCAAGCTGAGAATGCTTGTGTTAGGAGTGGTTCAAGACAGAAAAAAAAAGTTATACCCACACTAAGATTTTCTCCAGTATCGTAGAAGTAGTATGTATACATAAAGAACAATGGCAGACTTTCATACATAAAATTAGTTGAGAAAGAATGGTAGCGTCTATATATCAAAATATCTTAAAATGTTAAGCTTAATAACTCTGTCAAAGAATTTTGTCCTGAGAAGGCGTCAAAAAAAAAAGATATTTAGGTTTTTTAGGTTATGTCTTATAACTTGGAAAAAGTCATGCGTCCTGTGGTTGTTTGATGTTAGCTTAATACATTCTCAACATAATGTACCTACCTAAATAATTGAGAGTTTTTTGATTAATGTATCTCTATTATATATTTGCATATTAATGTATATTTCTGGCATGACTCCATACTTGTATATATAGAGGTCGGAGGGAGGAGGCTCCAGAGCTTTTGTGTCATACAGTGACATTCTCAGAAGGGCTAGAACCCAGAGCCGTAAAGCCAGTAAAAAAAACCAGTGACATTTTGTTTTAGCTAGTGCTGCTATATTACAAAGTACTATGATTGAGATAATGTATTATTGTAGGAAGTTCATTGTAAGAGACTTATTGTCAACCATATCACTTTAATTTTTATTATTACTGATAGTATAGTTATTACTAATAATAACTTAATATAAAAATATTTTCTGTTTGTGTGTTGTATTGGTAGTCGTACAAAGTTATACGAAAATAGTATGAATAAAATAAATGGCAATACTTGAATAGAGTAAAATGATTTAAGTTGGCCTAAAGTTCTACTAGATACGAGGCCATAAATTCAAAAAAAAAATGATTTAAGGTGGAAGCTCCAGGGTGGCCCGCGAAATTCAAATTTTCTTGCGTTTTTTGGAATTTGCAGGTCAGGGTCAGGTTGTATATTTAACAACATATGATTTGTGACCGTAGCGATTATGTGTTTACAGAATTATTATCATTAAAATCACCAATACAACCCTCTTAAGTTCATATAATCCCTTTGAATGAGTTTTTCTGGAAATAGCCATACATTGGAATTATACAAAAATACACGGTTGTATTGATGATTATAATGATTACAATTCTGTAAATACATACACGTTACGGTCGCGAATCATATTTTGTTAAACATACGACCTGAGACTGACCTGCAAATTGCAAAAAACGTAAGAAAATTTGAATTTCGCGGGCTACCCTGGCGCTTCCACCTTAAGTCATTTGATATTCCCAAAATAGTTTATTTTTTCTGTGGCTTTAATTAAAATACATTTTTATTTGAAAAATAGAAAAATAATAAAACTCATTTTATATATAAGTTATTTCTAGACGCAATAATTTTTGTCAACTATTTTTCTGCCATTGTTCTTTCAGTACACCACGTCGGTAAAGCTTCTTATCTTATATTTGATTTCCTTCAATATATCTATTACAGGCAAATCGCGCTCAAGGCTTTGAGCGAAAGATTATCAAAGACGTCGGAACAAACGCGACAGAAGAATCTAACCACCAAAGTGAACATGGATACCGTGAGGAAAATGCAAGCCTCTCACGTCATTCCTCAATTCTCCACGGTGGAGGTACCCGAGGCCTCCAGCTCAAAACCTCAGTCAGTGCCGGAGACCACGCTCGTAGACATAAGCACAGAGCCTTCAGCACCTACAACAAAGACCTCATGATCTACAAGCCAAGTTTAATATTAAGTTTGTTCACAGAACCAATGTGGGAATGGTTTTCATTAACTGTTGTGCCGAAGGTGTTATATGGAATTACTTAAGAAACTGTATTAAAATTTTATCGCCGGGTTATCTTTAATATATGGATTCATTTTCTACCAAAAACTAAATAAATCTTTGTTCTTTAGTAATTCATGAACTGTACAAATTAAAACAAACTAATTAATTTATAAGTTTGATATTTTTGAAGCAATTATTTATATAATGTTAAAAAGAAAAGACAGTTGTTCATTTTATAATTAAATATTTACCTATTATATATTCTTTCGTTCTCGGTATTTAAATGTACATATTTATTCAACCATATAGTGGAACGATTTCTACGATGATTAGCATAGCCAGTGGTGAATTGTCGGTTGACAGAGTTCGGAAGGGAATATTAATGAGTTTCGGTTACCGATGTTAGCAAAACAAAAAACGCTTTATTTGAAACAAGTATTATAACCATTAATAATTAAATGCAAAATGTTTTTTTTTATAGGATCAAGTGACACACAGTGAGCACACAGTCCACATGGTGGTAAGTGGCTGCTGTGGCACATAGACATCCACATCTATCGTCGTTTGCGGATCAAAATGCAGATGCGTTGTCAGCCGTGAGGTCTAAGATAGAATGCCTCGTTTCCAGTAAAAAGGGTCTCCGGTTCTCTACACTCACCATACGAAACACAGCAGGGTGAAACTGCTATTTTACGCTGGTATTCTATGAGAGCGTGGTCCTTCCCCGGTCGAGCCGACCCATTCGTGCTACAACTATATTACTAATATAGCTGCAGCATAGCTCTACCACGTTTAGTTTATGAATCAAATCAAATCCTAATACAACATTTATTTTTATTTTGGAAAGTTCATATTATCATTAGATGATATCCTCCTTAGCTGCTGTCATTATTTGATTAACAGTTATCGACTTTGTAATGTATAGTGGACAGAAGGGGAAATACTCGTTTAAATTTGCATAATATATTGTTACAATAACAGTTTTGTTTCGCAAGCGCTAGATATTGATTTTGGTCGGATTATTGTAGAACGCGATATATTGTAGCAATGGAACACTGACCATCTTAAATAAACACCGCTACGAATTGTTTGTACCAAGACACGGCCACGACTTCGCGTATACTCTTATTAACAATTAAAATGATTATTTGCTACTTTTATTTCCAGTACTATTTGTTATTTTAATGAACAATAACTCATTAAGAACGTAAATGGATTTACTGAAGAATATTCAAGCGACCATTTGTTTCCGATTTTAAACCTGTAGATAAAATTGTACTATTTCAAAAGATTCTCAAGGTGCAATTCCGTAGCCGACCGCAGACAGCAGCAGCAGGCGACGTGTTGTCGCGTCATGTCGCTGCAGTCATTATTCCGAACCCGACTGCAGGCGGCAGCAGCCCGTGTTCCATTCTGTTCCGAATGTTCTGTGGGTACTCTATTTATGTAAAATAGGTAATAGATTAATTTCCTTATAAATATATTAGGTATATATATATACACATACCTAATTACCGCTTTTATTTAACTCCTTCCTATATTTTTTCAAATATTATCTTTTGTCACACTGTTAAAATAATTATTGTGAGATGCATCATACAATGCGGGATATTGGGCCACCTGGTTTATCAGTTTCTCTTACACGGAATCGGAGAAACTCATTTTTTGAGCAAAATTCAACGTGCGTTGTCGGCACTACCGATCCAGTAGTGTCGCGACGACACGTCGCCTGCTGCTGCTGTCTGCGGTCGGCTACGGAATTGTACCTTTATGCCTCCTCTACACTACTCGCGAAGTAGATCGAAGTTGGACGAGGCGAATAGTGTAGAGAGGTACTTCGATTTACTTCGTCCAATCTCGCTTCGCCTCGGGCGACTTCCGATCGCTGTCGGTTTTTTGCGCCAGAGTCAAAGGGCTTCGCGAAGTACCTCGAAGTTACACGAACCGTCTCACTACTCTCTCGGCTACTCGGCTTACGCCAGTTATGAATATTTTTTATATATATACATATTAAATATATAGCTTTCTACATAATTATTTATTTAGTTAACGCATTGACGTCGTACTGTTCACACAATTAGGTACATAAAGCAGCTGCCTCTTGAACGTCATTCATGTTAACGGTGCGGGAGATTCAAGACGACTGAGCTCTTCACGAAGTAGCACGAGTATGTGGTCACGTTCTTCGGACTGCGATCGACTTCGTCGAGCACTTCGTCGAAGTTACTTCGCGAGTAGTGTAGAGGAAGCATTAGCATTTTATTTGAAGAAATTTATTTATTGATAGTGAACAATCGAACTGAAGTTTAAAAAGTAATGTTTCTATACAATAATCACAATTAGCGTAATTATTGTTGACGGGACTGATAGTTTAAAATTGTAAATATATATATTTAACATGAACATTTAGACAATTAGAGGTAGTAAATCTGTATTTAAGACGAATTGATTGTTATTTCCACGCTGGCACTGTGAATTTATACAAACGTATTTGTTTTTTTATATAAAAAGTCCGTCAATTTTTTTCCTGTTTGATTTAAATATGTATGTATGTATGTATGTATGTTGAAAAAGTGATATTTTTCGCGGCGAAATGCATTTGTTGAAAATTGTGTCGAGATATTGGCATGTATCTATGAACGGTGTTGTGATGTTGTAAATATAAATAATAAATATTGATTATTAGTGTTACATCAATAAATAATTCCCAATCATTTGTCCGAAGCTTTTATTTCTTAAAATTATCAAATTATTTTTATGAAAGTCTATTTCTTCCAGGGATTGAAAACGGTCCCAAAATACCGGTATAGAACCGACATTTAGGGGTTTCGGTACCTATACCGGAACAGGAACCAGAACCTAAATTAGAACCTTTACTTTACCGGTTCCTAAGTAAAGCGAAAGCGAGTCCAAACTTGTTTGAGGTGCGGTCGGGTGGACGGCGCGATGCGGCGCGCGGCGGAGTTTGAGAAGAGGGGAGTTTGTAAAATATCAAATTTGTATTGGTGGATCTTATGTTGCATATCAATGCAGTGTTGCCAACTCTACGGATTTTCTATAGATATACGGAAATTTGTCATCATCTACGGAACTACGGAATTTGACGTTGCAATCTACGGAATTTTTATAAACTTAACAAGATTTTTTTTATCATGAGTGTGAACTTTCCGACAATGTCATTCTTTCTCTCTTCTAATGTTGTCTGTATTAAATTATATCTAATAATTAATTATATGCTATCTGTATTAAAATAAAACCATTCTCACTCATAAATATGAAATTTTTGTGACGTTAATCGATTTCAAATGTTAATAGCTTAGATATTTTGAATTAAATTAGGTACGTTTGTTTCTTCTTTCTTCTTGTAAAATACGCAGTTAATATAACCGCTTTTTATAGATTTTTTTTTTATAGAATAAGGGTGACAAACGAGCACACAGTCCACCCGATGGTAAGTGGTCGCTGTGGCCCATAGACATCTACATCTATCTTCGCTTGCGAATTAAAATGCAGATGCGTTGTCAGCAGTGAGGACTAAGATAGAATGCCTCTTTTCCAGTAAAATAGGTCTCCGGTTCTCTACACTACGAAACACAGCAGCACTAAGCCGCTATTTTACGCTGGTATCCTGTGAGAGCGTGGTGAAGAGTTTCGGGGATATAACGTCACCCTGTCTTACACCTCTCTGCAATTGGATAGGTTTCATACTCTGGTTCTGTACTCGGATAGCCATCGTAGCCCTACTGTACAAGCACTTCAGCACTTCGATATACTGACAGTCACCTTGGTACTGTTGAAGGGACTGCTGCACCGCCCAAATTTCGACGGAATCAAAGGCAAATTGTACTCCACGGACTTCTGTACAATTCGCCGAAGGGTATGTATGTGGTCTATGGTGCTAAAGCTCTTTCGGAAACCGGCTTGTTCGGGAGAATGGAAGTCGATAATTCTGCTCGCGAGACGATTCGTAATGACTCGAAAACAGCACGTAGACGCGGCACAGAAGTAAAATCGGCCTGTACATCTTCAAGTGAGCGTTGTCACCTTTCTTGAAGAACAAGACCATCGCACTTCTGCTCCACGCCTCCGGTGTAATGCCACCATGGAGGACGGAATTAAAGAGCTTCTGAAGGACTTCCAAGTACCGGTTTTCCACCCGCTTTCAGAAGCTCCGCTGTAATTCCATCCTCGCCTGGGGCCTTGCCGTTTTTAAGGTGCTGGAGAGCCTTCCAGCAAGTTCTTCTGCGGCAGGTCTTGCTAAACTTAGCTCCGACCGCATGGACAGTTTTCACGAGCTTGTCATTCATATCGTCTACTGCATTGCAATCTTCTAGGCACTGAAAACGGTTTCGTAGTTCGAGCTGAAAGATTTCGGGAGTTTGGACTAGAGCACGAGGGAGACGGAGCGTTGACTTCATTAGACGTGTCCTCTCCAACTTAACGTTTAGGTTCAGTGTGCCTGTCACCTTTCGGTGATTGCTGCCGGTTTTCACCCTCGCGATCACTGAGATATCACTGAACAGTTGTCGTCTGGTCGTCATAATGAAGTCAATCTCATATTTTGTTGAACCGTCGGGGCTCGACCAGGTCCACTTTCTGTGGGGCCGCTTCTGGAAGAAAGAGTTCATCATAAAGAGTCCCTCTTTCTCCATGAACTCTGCTTACTGCTGGCCCCTTTGGTTACGTTGACCTATTCCAAATTTCCCTACTTTCAGCTCACCGTTCTCTCTTGTGCCTAGTTTTGCGTTGAAGTCTCCCATTAACACCGTATAAATGTATTAGGATATCTCTAGAGATATCCTCATACATTTCGTCCACCTCCTCATCAGGGTGTGTCGAGGTTTGTGCGTAAACCTGTATGACCTTCAGCGAATACCGTTTGGTGATTCTGAGTATAAGGTACGCGACCCTCGTCGAGACACTGCCAATCTTTATAACGTAGT